TATATATATATATATATATATATATATATATATACATTTCAAAAATTTCAACATCAACTTAAAAGAATTCAAGTTCTCAGAAGGGGGGAAAGAGAATTCTGAGACTTAAAAGCAAAACCTGTTTTAAAACCATCTTTTTTTCCGGAGCTAGGTTCACGTGAATATAGTCTAAGTCCTACTCTATGATGCCTTTACCAATCTTCAAGATTCAAGAAAATAATCTACATTTACCAACGGAGGTTGTTCACACATAGTCTTTTACCTGGCTGCCTTGGGGCCCGGCCTCACCAGGTTTTAACAGTGTCTCCCAGCTAACGCCGGTCACTTTTTAGTTACTCGAGATAATTAGGTTTTAGGAAGAAACAGATGAGAGACTAAGTTTAAAGAAGGACTCTAAATGGCAAAGACATCTGATTTATGCTAAAAGTCTACTCATTTAAAGACAAATCACCACATTAATAACATACTGAGCACCAAATAGTGTCAGTCCCCAAGTCAGATAACGGCAAGGCGCTGGCTAGACTTCACATAGATGCAATCTAAAAAATATTTTTGGCTAATGGTTTCCACACTTGGATTTTTTTAGACTGGAACCTTTGGGTGCCAGGAAATACAAGTAGAACAATCCTATCAGGGGGCCCCCTCTCTCCGCAGAACTGTCCGTTTGAAAGCCCCTGTGAGGGGCCTCTAGTTCTGCAGCCTGGACACCATTAGAAGCAGCTGGAAGTGTTAAGAATATCCACCCCCGGCACCTTAAATAGCTGGTTCTAAAGTACATCCAGGACTGTGAATCAGGACGCGACACAACAGACAACAGAAAGCAAAGGCGATACCACCTCTATTTTCAACGATTTACTTTTTAAAAATGTGGATCCATACCCTCCAGTAATTGGGCTGGCAATTCCGAGCAAGCCAATCTGAATGAAGCGCTCGAGAAGTATCGGTAGATAAATCCTCATTGATAAACCCCATGCTTTCGGCAAACTTGGTAGCTAGCGGGGGAAGCAAAGAAAAAATCTAAGTTTAGTATTGTAAACAGAAGTGTTTCAGATCAGCAGTCCCTAAGGGCGGTGCACCCAGCCAAGGGTACACAAAGGCTTGCCAAGGGCTACTGAGACATGAACAGTTTTAGACCGCAGTTTCTAGATCACGTACTTACATTTGTCCTCCCTGAAAGGGATCTACTTGAGATCCTGGGGGTGTGTTTCCTTGCCCACCTCCCCTCCACAACTTCCCTTCTTTCACTTCACATAAAAAAGGGCACACCTCTCACCAACACTGAACCTTACTGCTTTAACCAGGGTGCGATGCTCAGAGAATATTACAGAAGATAGACAACTGGATCCCAATGGAAGAGTAAAAGGTCATTCTGTTGAGTAGTGGTTAAGAAAATTGAAGGGTGCCCGGGACAGTGTTAATTAACATGCTGTTAAAATTTTTTATTGCAGAACACTGTATGATTTTTGTAATTAGTTTAGCAGGTGTTTAAGTCAGTAACACAGACATAGAGAAACCCCCGTAGTTCTTGTTTATTTGTGTGTTGCATCTTCTCATGTTAATAATGCTCCGTGGTTTCACACCTCTAACAGTGTAATGCAGTTATATTAACAGTGCAATGCAGTTAACGTATAGTCTAGTTACAGTATAATGCAGTCACAATGTCATACAAGAAGAGAAATGATGTTTCCTGCTTCAGTCCAGCAATTACCCATATATACATAAATTAATTTTCAATCCTATTTTAAAGGTGAGCAGAGTGAGACTCAGAAGTTAAATAACTTATTGTGAAGTATTAACTAAAACAACTAGAATTTTATGTTAGGTCTTCTGTTTTATACCCAGTCCTTTTCACAGTGAAGAATGAAAACAGTTATTAGGTAAAATTCAGCAGAGTTAAAATATACCTGATTCGCCTACTAAAAGCGTATGTGTTGTATGTTCCAGTACTTTCCGTGCCACACCAATAGCATTTTTAATTCTTCTAAGACCTCCTACTGCTCCGACGTTCATGGTAGCACTACAAGAAAAAAATGAAGTCAGATGCACTGAGGTGTTTCATGGGTTCATAAAGACTATCGCTTCACTCTAAGCAATAGTGTTCTGCAGGTTCATCTGCACCATCTAACCACAGAGCGACAGTCCATGCAGAGAGTCATACAAATTCCCACATTCAAGCGACAATCCCTACCATATACCCCGACAGCATTAAAATCTTAGTTGCACCTGGCTCTTTTCAGCTTTGGCTTTGGAAAGGGGTTTTTAATGGCTTCAGGTCAGGCAAGTCACATTTTGTGTAGATGGTAGATAAATGACTGCTTCCAACAGGTCAGAGACAAATTTTGGTAGCTTGGCAGGACTCCCTGTTTTAAGCAGACAATCTACTTCTAAGTGATAGATCTACAATGCTCTTTTTTTTTTTTTTAACCAAAGAGGAAACTCCTTGTGTTTAGAAAGACCAAGTACAATAAGCTGGGGGTTTGACCTGTGGCACGCCTGCATTCGTTTTGCGTTCAGTAGAGTGACTGTAAATGCCACTCAACAGGAAGTGATAGCACAGAGAGAAATGTGTCCAAGCAGCGTTCTTACCCATCCATGATCATGGCATCCAGTGTGGTTTCTCCAAATTCGTCAGGACTTCCTCCAAAACCCACGGTGCCATCACACTGCTCCCTCTCACACGTGGCACAGCCGCTCTCAACCGCATCCACGGGAGACCCTCCAGATGCCAGCCTCCTCCATGCTGTCAATCAAAGCCCAACAGGGCAGTGTTGATCATTTGGCTTTCCATTGCCAAGTGCAACAAATGTATTTTTTTGTCGTGTTTACTCAAAGCTAACCTGAATTTTGAACAAATTAATTCCTCAAGTGATACAAAGGAGTCAGAGTGATAAAGACAAAATTTTATAATGCAACTATTTACTATCAAAATTCAGACTTTGGCTACTGATGCAAAGTGAGGTGTTTTTTTTTTTTTATGATTTATTTATTTAGGCATACAGAACTGAGGTACAGGCCAGAGGTGCAGGGTTGGTGAGAGGATTCACCAGAGACAGGGTGGGGAGCAAAACTGGCTCACTGCTGAGGGGAGCCATGGGCAGGTCAGGAGAGGTCTGCCGCGCCTTGTGGGTCACCTCTGGGGCGGGGCTAGAACTCATGCTGAAGTGGCTTTAACTTCTTAGTGCTGTGCTTTAACCAGCTGTGTCACCAGAGAGGGCAGAGGGGTTTTATTTTTATAAATATTTCTCTATGAGAAAACACTCTCCTTCAATTTAAAATGTTACAATAGGAACAACTAGATGCCTCAAATTATAAATAGTTTATATCATAAAAAAATCATTAAGCCATATGTGTTTCTTCTGTATCATTAGATTATTAAATTATACATGACTAATACCTTTATTGAGATAACATCTATCATGGCCAGTCTCTGTGGCAGTAATTACAACCTGGGCTTTATACGGGTTAATTGATTCAATGGTCACTATAGCTTTTTAGATACATTCTGCATTAATTATTACCCTCATTTTAAATAGGAGACAGGCCCAGAGACAGTAAGAAACTTGCTCAAAGTCACACAGCAGTTAGCAGTCAGCAGAGCTAGGATTCAGGAGACAGTTTGGCTCACGTGGCCAAGTAACTACGTTCTGTTATCTTGTATTTCTGAATCACATGTGCTGTTTATAACCATACAAACTTAGCTCCACCAAAATCTGGGGCGTGTTCTGCTCTCCCCACACCCACCCCCCAAGAACCCTGTGGTAGTCTCATAAAAGGGAGGAGTCTGAAATTACTCTTATGAAAGAATGAAACACACACAATACAAGGAGAAAATGCTAGGATAGATGGTATGGACAGAATAATATCAAACAACAGAAGCCAACACTTAATAGGCTCGACATAAGGGCAGTACATCAAAGACTTCTTGGAAGAGGTGATATTTTAGGTTGGTAGTTCTCAATTCTGGCTGCAAAGCGCAATAAATCACTTAAGGAGCTTTTTATGAACCTATTTCCTGGTTCCAGCAGTTAAATAAAAATTTCAGAGTGGAGGACCAGGCATCGGTATTTTCAAGCTCTGTATCAATGTAAATATACAGTCAAGACTGTACCATTCCAGGTGGTGAACACATGTCAGCACGTGGGGTGTGTGAGTGAGAGGTAAGGGGGTCAGTGCCTGTATAGTTTTGGAGGAACTGAGTCTGCAAGGTTGAAATGTATGGTACTGGGGAGAACTGGGGGATTCGTACTGAGGAGTTAGAACCGATGGGGAGAGCGGGAGAGAGGAGACACAGCTGGAGAAGACTGGATGTCAGGCAGAAGACAGGGTGCGCACCCCTGCGAAGCCTGGCAGACAGGACACCCCGGTTCTCCGTTTGCGGCAGGCAGGAGCGCATCAGAGCCCCTGGGTGCTGAGGCCCTCAACTGCAGCAGCGGGAGGCGCCGGAGCAAAGGCGATCGAAGAGGACCGAGAGGCTCAGAAGCCGAGGCAGGGCCGGAAGGCGCCCGCGGAAGACCGGCGCGGGCGGGGCTCAGCGCCCTCCACCCCGAGGGCCCCGCCGCGCCCCCCGGCCCCGCGGCGCACCTGCTTCGGTAGCGTTCTTAAAGGGCCAAGTGTTGAGGACCAGCGGCAGAGGCCCGGCGCGCTGCGCGAGGGCCGGGTCGAGCAGGAGAGGCACGAGCAGCAGCAGGCTGGCCTCGCGGGCCATGGCGTCCCGCGGGCCGTCGCGCCGAAGGGTCACCGACGCG